GAATTACAGCAATGAGAGGAGGAAATTTAAGTGGCTTGTGCAGGAGATGGAAGTTAAGATGAGCTGGGTTAAAAGATCAGCTAATTCCTTAGCTGATGAATTAGCTAAACAAGGGGTAGAAAGGGATTCAATGTTTTGGGCTAAGCTGTAATTTTATTGTTTCTTCCAATCTTCCTGTTCTTTTTCTTTTCTTTCTTGAGGGCCCAAGTTGTATTTGGAAGATAAGAGTGTTGTCTTCCTTTTTGTAATTATTCTTATGTTGAATTAATGAAATTGTTATTGATAAAAAAAAAAAGAGAAGCTAGGGACTGAAAATTCAAAGTACTCAGAGTGGATAGAAGAAGATGCATAGATTTAGAGTTGGTTGTGGAATTCTATGGAGACCAAAATCAGCAGCACACTTATTTTTCTAGGCACGTCTAAACAGATTTGGGATCAAGCGAAGAGGATGTATTCGGGTAGCAATTATATCACCCGAATATATCAGTTGTTTCAATCAATTTCTAGTGTACAGTAGGGAGATAAGTCTCTTGAAGGCTATTATTCTGATATGGTGAATCTTTGTGAAGAATTAAACATTTACCAACCTGTCGCTAGTGATGTTACAGTTGTGGAAAAGTAGAGGAAAGAGCTATATGTTGCTAACTTTCAAGTATCAAACCTGAATATGAATCAGTAAGAGCCCAAATTCTTGGGAGTACAGAGTTACCTGATCTGGAGGATGTGTTCTCTAGACTTCTAAGGGATAAGTTATTTGAATCTACTCCTTTATTAGATCAAGCTGCCGTTGTTACTTGTGGAAGCGGTAGTCAAGGTGTATATGGTGGAGGATGTGGAAGTGGTGGACGTGGTCCGTCTGAATCATATGGTGGTAGAGGTGGTCATGGTCGTGGAAGCAATACAACTACCAAATTTTGCACTCACTATGGGTTAGAAGGTCATACCATTGGAACTTTAGACTTGTGTGGAGTTCGGTTTTGTTCACATTGCTATTGTGAGGGCCATATAGTCGAGTATTGCCATTTGTTGAAGAAAACAGGGAGTTATGCAAATCAAACTACTTATCATGATGGAATGGACAATACATCTTTATAGACTATTGCTACAGATAATCAACCAAAGGGGAAACTATAACCATCTAGAAGGAAGAATATAATAGATTGATTATAGCTACATTATCATGCATTGCTACTCTTTCTCAGACATTAGGCACTGGCTCCACTTGCCTTCTTTCTACCACATCTCCATGGGTCATTGACTTAGGTGCTATCAACCACATCATAGGTACTCCATCTGCTTTTACCCAATTTCGTTCTTCACCTTCTACCCAACATGTTACCCTTGCTAATGGATGTACATCTTCAGTTAATGGAATTGGAAGTATTAGTCCAACTCCACAACTTCCTTTAGCATCTATACTTTATGTTCCTCAATTTCCTTTTAATCTTATGTTTGTGAGTTAATTGACCAAGGCACTAAATTGCTCTATCACCTCTTTTTCTTCCTATTGTGTGTTTCAGGACCTTAAGACGACATTAGCTTTGAATGTGATGCATGTCAGCTTAGCAAGCTTCATTTGGCTACTTTTTCCTCCTTGAGCCATTAGTCGTATGTCTTAACTTTTCAATTAGTTCATTTAGATGTTTGGGGTCCGTGTCCTATTGTGTCATATTTGGGGTTTAAGTACTTTGTTACTTTTGTTGATGATTTCTCTAGAGTCTCTAGGTTATTTTTGTTAAAGGAAAGATCTGAGTTATTTTTTGTATTCAAATCTTTCTTTATGGAAATAAGAACTCAGTTTGGATTTAATATATTTGCTATTCAATTTGATAATGCAAAGGAATATATGTCTTCTCCCTTTATTGATTTCTATAATGAGCATGGTATTCGACATCAAACCTCTTGTGTTAGTACACCTCAACAAAACAGTGTTGTTGAATGCAAGAACCACCATTTATTAGAAGTGACTCGAGCACTTCTCATCTAAATGAATGTTCCCAAAACTTACTGGAGTGATGTTTTGCTTACTACTTGCTATCTTATTAATTGGATGCCCTCATCAGTTTTACATAAGTAGAAGTTCGAAAATAAGAAGAAAGGTAAAGAGAAAAAAGGAGGAAGAGGGAAGAGAAGCAGTAGAACACAAGAGTTGAAAAGGAGGAGCAGAAGCTTAATGTTCTGCCGC